TAAAGTTTTAGAAATATTAACTAGGTAGTTCTAGAGATATATTAGATTTTAATAAAATTTTCTTTTTTTAGCCCCCACTTTCTAATATCTCTAAACCTACATATTTAAATTTTCTAAAAACTAAGTATATTATAGATAGTATACTTATAAGCTTATATTTAAAATTTTATAATTTATTATAGTGTAATAAGGGAGATGCACGGTTACGCACGGCCTTTTTTTGTTAGTAAAAGAAGTGATCGACTCGTATGCCTGATCGACTCGTATGCCGATTACGTTATAGCTTTAGTATTATACTATTAGTACTAGTAAAAAGGTTTTTAAAACCTATATAAAAAAATAGTTATATAATATAAGGCCTACTAGAAACTAAAATAAATATAGAAAGTCTAGATATTTTAGTTCTCTATTACTACTCTACTATAGTAGGTAGTATATATTAATATAGTATATATACTAGTAAGTAAAGAAAAAAATTACTTAGCTCTTATTAGAAAAAAACTCTATAAATAGGTAGAAAGCGTTATATTAATAAAAGCTAACTTAAAATTTATAGCTAAATTTATATATAAGTACTTTATATATTAATAGGGTATAGTAGAATAAATTAGTATAAATAGAGGGCCTAAAAATAAAAATGTTATTATTAATTTAGCTAAATTATATAGAATTTACTAGATATAAGCCTTTAAGTTTAACCTATAAGAAATAGGACTTATAGAGAGTAGCTACAAATCTATTATATATATACTTAAAGTAATAAAGAGCTTTTAGGTAAATAACTTACTAATAGCATTACTAGCTAATTATATATTAATTTATAAGTTTACTAAGTACTTACTAATTAAGATAGTTACTAAATAAAACCTAGTACTACCTATTAAATTAGTAGTCCCTACTTAGTAAATAATCTTATAGAATACTATTTATAGTTAGTAGAATCTTATCTACTACCGCACTATATAACTAAACCTATAAAATTATAACTTAAAAAAAGTAGTTATAAAAATTAAAAAACTTAGAAGTTAAAAAAAGGAGTATTAGAACGCTATAAAAAAAATATACTATAATAGGTTTAAGCTAAAAAATATAGTTCTTCTATAAAATTCTAGTTAAGAAATAAATATATTAAAAAATAGAAAGTTTAAAGATAGGTAGTTAGGTTTATACTATATATTTAAAGTAAATAATAAAAAAAACTATTATTAGCTAGTAGACTTAGATAGTACTATATCTAAATATACTACTTTTAGCTATAAACTTTAAAAGTTTATCTAATATACTATAAAAAATATTACTTAGAAAAATAAAGCTAAAAAATAATAGCTAGGCCTAAAAGTAGAACTAGAAACTTTATTAGAAGAGAAGCTAGCTAAAAAAATATCTAAAACTACTTAATTTAAAAGGTATTAAAGGTAGCTTAACTATTAGAACTAACCTACTATAAAGTTAATTTTATAGTGCTATAAAATTATAATATTTAAATAGTTATTCCTTTAGGAAACTAGTAAAATATAACTATAGTTTATCTTAAAAAGGATAACTAATAAAAACTACGCTACACCTATTTTTTTTATTAGTTTAATTTTATATATTTTTTTTTAAAATTTTAGAAGTATTATATATAAGGATAGTAGGAATTTTCTATAATTTTTCCCTAACTACTAGGTAGGGGGAGGATTAATTTTTTACTAATATTTTTTTTTCTTTTTTTTTTCTTTTATATATAGTATACTATAGTTAGTATACTAACTATAATATTATCTACTCTACTAAACTTACTAAAATCTTCCTAGTTAATTACTTAACACCCTTCTCTTATATACTAACTACGGCACCTATAGTGTAGTGTAGTAAGGGGCCGGAGAAACGTTGGACCGACGGAGAATAGGGTAAATATAAAATAGGGGGGGGATGGCGCAGTGGTTAAGCGCCTAGGTACGCTCTCCGGCTTGAGGGACCCGAAAGTTTTTCACTGATGTGGGGCACCGATAGCAAGAGCCGTAGGTTCGAATCCTACCCCTCCCACCCAATTTAACCAATCACCTTTTTTCTACCTAATTCTAAGGTTTTTTCGTTAATTACTCTAGAAGGTTTTAATCCTGTATCTAAAGGTTTCCTTTCTAGTTTTTGTTATGAATTTTCTAGACAATTTTAGTAGGCCTATTACTTTGCCTGTAAATAACTAGCTAGCTAGCCAAGCCACCTAGTAGTAGTTAGCCACGAATAAAAGTAATAATAATAATAATAATAATATAAAATAGTTAGAAAAAAGAAAGCGGGGGGGATATTATTACTACTACGACACTCTAATAGGTAATTAGATAGAGAGAATATACAGGTTTTTAATTAATATATTATTAATTATAAAGTTCTATCTATTAATTATAGGTTAAAATACTTATATATAGGCTATACCTAATATTTTTAGTAATAAGAGTAGGACCTTTTAATAGTCTATTAAAAAAAAGAATAAGTAAAACTTAAGAAAAAAAAAATGCTAATATAAGAATAATAGAAAAAAGTCCTAATTTAAGAATAAGTAACCTAAAAAAAGCCCTAATTAGAGAGTAGGCCCTAAATATAAAAGAAAGTTCTAATTTAAGAGTAGGTAACCTAGAAAAAGCCTTAATTAGAGAGCAGGCCCTAAATATAAAAGAAAGTTCTAATTTAAAAGCGGGTAACCTAGAAAAGAAATAGGAAAAAGGGAGTTTAATAGGTAAATAAAGGGGAACTTAAGTTAACTCTAAAAAACCTATTATTAGATAATTAGAAGAAATAAAAAAGTATTAAAGTAAAGTAATATTACTTAAATAAGCTACCTTTATATTAAGAAAAACTAGTAAAATAATAAATAGTTAAAAAGGACGCTAACCTTCTTAATAAGCTAAAAGTATACTAAAAAACTATTAAAGAAAGTAGAGTAAAAAGAATAGAGAAAGATACTATAAAAAGGGACAAAAAAAGAAGTGAAAAAAGGTACTAATAGATAACTAAACTAATTTACTATTAAAAACTATTTTATAAAAATATCTACTTAAAATAAATTAATAAGAAATTACACTAAGTAGGACGTAGGCGTATAAGCCTAAGACCCTCTATTTATAAGCCTTTTACTAAATAATTAAGAAGAAATTAGCTCTTAATATAGCTTTAGTAATTAACTAATAGATTAAAGTAAGTAATAGAATATTAGAGAACTTTACTTAGGGGTCTCTAATATTAGAATAGGCTCTAATAAAAGTAAAGTAAATATAGTATTTTTTACTTTTTACGCAGACTTTTCTTTAAAAAAAAAAAAAAAAAAAAGTAAAAAGGCTACTAGGCCTTCTACCTTAAAGCATAATTAGGTAGGAAACTACCTACTTATAGTATAGGATTTATATAAACTTATAATAGCTAATTAGTTTAAGTTTTTTCTAAAGCCTAAAAATAACTAAGCACTATATTTTAAAGGGAAAAATATTACCTAATTCTTTAAAAATTATAATTTTATAGTAACTAGTACCTAATAGTCTAATAAGAAGAAAAAAACGTTACTTCCTTACTTTTATAAAGAAACTACTTAAAAATATATCTAATACTTATCTAGATACCTTAACTAAGAAGTCTCTTAGAAAGATTTTAAAGTTAAACTTAAAAAAAAATACCTATTAACTAATACTGCGTAGCAGAAATTAACCTAATTATATACTAAATTCTAGCTAAGGGAAGTGTACTAAAAACTACTTACTCTAAATATATACTATTATTAGTTTATTTTTCTTACCTAATAAGTAATTACGTAATCCTAAATATTTATTTTTAACTAAGGATATTTATTTTTTAAAGGCCTATTAATATAAGACTAGTATATATTAATATATTTAATACTAATAGATTATTAGCTAAAGGGTAAAAATTTATTAATATATAAAATAGATGAACTCTACTAGTACCTATAGGATTATAAAAAATAATAATAAGCTATTATAGCTACTAATCCTAAAGTTATAGAAAAGGTAAGCTAGCTTACCTAATAAGAAATTATAAGCTAAATAAAGGTTAGAGGTATTTTTTTAGTTCTAACGCTTAATTAAAAAAAAAAGGAACTTAGGTAATTACTTATACTTTAGTAATTAACTTAACTAAATATTAAATTTTAAAGCTAACTTAATAAGATAGTTATAAGCCTTTAAAAAATAACTTTAACTATATTAGAGTTTAATAAATAGAAAAATAATTTAGTTATAGTTTAGGCCTTCCTTCTACTTAGTAACTATTCTTATACTTATTAATATTTTATTAAAAATAGAGATTACGTTAAAAAAAATAATAAAAGCTATATAAGTTTATACTTTCCGCTCTTAAATACTAATAAAGATTCTATCTAAATAACTATTAGAAATAAAATTAAAAAGAGTTATAGTATATATAGCCTATTAGAATATAGTATAAAGAACTATATCTATTATTAATAACTCTTTAAAAGAGAGTAGTATTATAAAAAGTTTAACCTTAAGTTAAAGTACTATAACTACTACTATAGTCTTTTTATAAGTAATAATCTAATATTTAAGAAAAGGTAATCCTAACTAATTAGTAATATACTTCTAGCGTAGGTTATTTAGAAAATTTAATAATACTATAACGTAACTAATAAGGATTTAGAGTAACCCTTTACTAAATAAAAAGCTTATAGTAAACTAGTATAGCTAAGGGCTACTAGTAATTAGTTAAAATAAGTTTATATTAGGTACTAGGTAGATAGCTCTATAAATTTAGAGCTAGAATAAAAAAAAGTAGTAAAGGTAATACGCTTTTACTAATTATTATTTAAAGAATTAGGTAAATAGAATAAGTTAGACCCTTATAATAAAGAAGTAAATATAATTAATAATTAACTAAAAAAGTATTAAGGGTAGCCTTCTAGCTATTTAGTAATTAGGAAACTAGTTTAAAAGGCTATTAGTAAAAAATAGATAGGTAAAGAAAAAAAAAATAGCTACTTAAAGAAGCTCTCCTTAAAAAATAATTATAAATAATAATTAAAGACTTTTTTCTAGTAGTACTAATACTTAATATTAATATAAATAAAGTTTTTAAAACTATAGTAGATAAAGCTAATTAAAATAAAAAAGAAAGGCTAAGTCTAATAAACTATTAAAAAAAGGACCTTAAACTTATAACTAGTAAATTAAAAACCTTCTTATAAGTACCTATAACTTAATTAATCTTTATAGCATCTCTCTAATAAAAGGTTAAAAAAATTACTATAGGAACCCTACTATCCTAAGGCCTAATATAATAAACACTTGAAAAACTACTTAAAAAAGTAGACTCTAATAAAAAGGTAACTAAAATATAATTAGGTAATATATTTATAATAAAAAAAAATAAAAAAGATTAACTCTAAAAAAGAGTTAGAGGTAATTAGTATAAAACTAATATAGGAGCTTTGCCTACGCCTATACTTAAGGACTAATAAAGTATTATATATAAAAAATAATTATTAATACTTTATTATAGATATTAAAAAAGAAGTTAATAAAAAGCTAAAGAAAAATCTATTAGTTAATTAAAGAAACTAACACTAAACGTTAAAACTAATCTAAATAAAAAAAAATATCTTAAGCTACTACTTAAGCGTACTTAGAAACTAGTATAAAGTATTAATTAATACTAAAATAGAGCTTAATATAATATAATATAGTACCGCCTAAGTGTTAAACATCCTAATTAAAAATATTAACTAGACTATAATACTAACTAATTATTAGGCTAAAATAGTTAGAGCTAATAGGTTAGTAGATAAGTATATAAGAACTACTTATTATATACTAGTTTAAATTAGTTTAATAATAATTCTAATACACTTTTAAATTATCTAGAAAGTTTAATAACCTATTATTTTAAAATCCCTATAGCTTATAGCCTGCTAAGCTTATATATAGTTCTAAACTAATAAGTAAATAGAGTATTAAATTATAAGTAAAGACGGCTTATAAATAGTGTCTTTCTTAAGGTATAATTTATTATTAATATAATTCTAAGCTAAATTAGTTCTATTAGAAAATAAGTAATAAGTATATTTCTAAAAGTAGTATACCTAATATTTAATTAATTAATAGCTCCTAAATAGTAAATAATAAAAAAATACTAATTTATAGATATACTAATAAAATAAAAAAACCTTAGGTAAGCGCGTAACTAACTATTATAAAAGCGTAACTAAATAGAGTAGAAAGTAGTATTTATAATATATAAAACTATAGCCTAGAAAGTTTAACTAGTAGATAAGCTAAGGAAAAATAGTAATATAGACTTTAGATAACATAACTAAAAAAAAACGCGTAATAGAACGTTAGTTAAAACTCTTAATTATTTAAAAAATAGAAGTTAATCTATTTATAGGCCTTTTAGGACTATAATACGCTACTTTTCTAAAAGGTACGTAACTAATACTAAGTTATTTTTTTTAAATACTAATTAGAGAAAATCTTCTCTCTACTAAAAAGTAACTAATAGTTAAACTAATATTCTATTAAGAAGTAGTAATAGTATAGGATTTCTTAGAAATAACTTATATTTACCCTAATATTTTACCTCTATATTATATTTAAACTATCCTATATAAGGCCTAGTAAATATAAAGATATAAGCTACTAAAAAAGTTAGAACTAAAAATTATTAACATAGTCTAAAAGCAACTTAATTAAAGGATAATTAAGCTATATAATAGCTAATATTAAAACCCTTAGTTTTTAATAAAAAAAAAGTAGAGCGTTAAATAGATATTAGTTAATTAATAATACCTAATATATTAATGCAGTAACTATAAGGGATATAAACCTTTTACTATTTATTAATAATTTTATAGAGTAATTAGAAAGTAAAGTAATTTACTTCTTTTTTAATCTATTTTTAAACTATAATTAAATATTACTTTACCCTAATTTAAAAAATATTATAGCTTTTTTTACCTTTTTTAGATTAATCTAGTAGTATAGCGTGCTAATAAGAGTAATAAATATAGTTTAGGCGTTTAT